CGTAGCGGAGCAAATGATCGTGGGTGGGAGAGGCGTACGCCCAGCATACGCTAAAAGCCATTAAACCCTAATTTTGGGTTGAGCCACTATATAAAGAACATAATGGCTTCAACCCTAGCCTCATATCAGCCTCCCCAACTTCAGAAGAAACTCTAGAACACCCCAACCCTTCATTTTGTGAGATCTTGACCTTGGGAAGCTTAGTTTGGTGGTTTAAGGCTTGGAAGAGAAAATAAGAAGAGTGGCAAGGAGGAACCTTGGATGCCAGAGCTTATTGATCTGAGACAACATCATCTTCTGGAACACTTTGAAGGTATAAAGCTCACAACTTTACTTATGGGTGCTTAGATCTAGTATGGTTTAGTTTTTGGTCCAAAGGTGAAAGCTTTATGGCTTAAATCCGATTTCCAGACCAAGGGTTGCCTCCCTTGGTGCTAAATGACTCCCTAGAACAGAAAGTTGATATCTTGAAGGTCCAAATGAGTTCATGCATGAGTTAAGACCTTTTTCCATGGAAATAGATTATTGTTTTTTGGAGTTTGAGCTTATGTGAGTCATACAATCCATCAAGTAAGCAACTTTGTGGGTTAAGACATGGAATAAGACTTGGATCTGAGTTTGTAGCTTCTGAATCGAGGTATTAAGCACTTAAAAGAAAGTTGACTTAACAGGGATGTACGTTGGGCGTACAAGGAGGTACGCACGACGTACAAGCCATCAGCCAGTACGCTCAGCGTACCTAGAAGTACGCCCCGCGTACGCTGCCAGGTTTGGGCCTTGAGCATTTGGGCCTCGGTGTGGGCTGTGCTTTGGACTATAGGTCTTTGGTCCTTAGTGGGCCATCAGGGGTCGGTGATTATGGGCCAAGTATATGTGTTGGGCTTAGGGTAAGGCCCAATAAAGGGATTGGGACCAATGTAGCAAATTGGGCCATTAATGGGCCAATAGTGGGCTTGGGAAGCCTACCTAGTGTTGAGCCTTTTTATATTATGTTTTGGGCCCTAGTTATGGACCATTATGGGGTAGGGGTAAAATGGTCATTTTACCCTGAGGGTGACTATGATATTGGGCTAAGTGATATTGTGATCTTGGTAGCTCGGGGAGCCGAAGAAGCAGCAATCGGGGAAGTTCCAGCTAGCAGCAGAAGGTCATCAGCAAAGTTCAGCAGTGCAGGTGAGTTTTCCCTTTGTGTGGATGGGTCTACGGCCACAATGCCGGCCCATGTAGTTATGAGTAGGAAGACCCGGGGGTTAGCCCTAGGCACTGTATGCTAGTATGATATTCAGGACCAAGGTCCAATGTTAGCGGGCGGGTGCCCAAGGAACGGTTTACATGATAGTTTATACTTGTTGTCTGTGTGATACATGTATGTGCCTGATAGGGAGGTGAGTGTGGGCGAGGTCCCGTATCTCACCAATAGCAGAGTGTGGACGGTTTTCCATATCTCATTAGCAGCAGAGCAGGGGCGAGGCCCAAGGTAGGAAGGGAGTGAGTGTGGGCTGGGCCCGTATCTCACTATCAGTAGGAGCGTGGACGGGGTTCCATGACTCATCAGCAGCAGGACAGGGGCGGGGCCCGAGATAGGCGAGGTCTTAGAACGGGAATCTAGTAGTATATGTTCAGTTTATGTGTTATGCTATGATTGTATGTTAGTATATGTTAGAGGGCGGGGCCCAGAGACAGGCGGGGCCTAAGTGAGACAGATATGTATACCGAGCGGGGCTCGATGCCAGGAAAGGCCTGATGTCGGGCGGGGCCCGATGTCGGGGCGAGTCTGATGCCGGGCTAGTCCTCATGCAGCAGGGGAGAGGCCCAGTATGTGATTATGAGTATGGTATGTGGTAGGTTGGGGAACTCACTAAGCTTCATGCTTACGGTTTTCAATTTTGGTTTCAGGTACTTCCGGTAGCGGAGGTAAGAGCTCGGGGTGATCGCATGGCACACACCATTGTTTAGTCAGCCTGGGATGTTTTACTCTGATAATAAGAATATGTTATGAATTAACACTCTGATTTTATGTTATGATTTATGTTATGGATTGACAATGTGGTTTAAGTAACGTATTAAAAATGAAATTTTTAGTCATGATTTTTGGGATGTTACAGCTTGGCCATTTTAAATGGCAATGAGAAGATGTTTGTTCCTGCGCAGAGATATTGAGGTTGCCCCGTGCCTCTGACTGTCAGATTGAGTTCATGTAGGTGACTTGTATAACTATGATAAGAGACATTCAGACAAGTATTTGCCCCGTGCCTCTGACTGTCAGATTGAGTTCATGTAGTTGTAAGCTAGGGGCGTCTGAATTAGCTATTTTGACAAAGAAATTCGCAAAGTACAAACAAGTACTATACATTTTTACTTAATGTCATAACCCAATCTATATAAATTAAAGTATTTGAAAAACATTAAATTTTTTTGAAAAACATAAAAAAAAATCAAAAAAAAAATGTTTTAAATTAAAATAATTCATGATCACAATATAATTATTACTTGTTTGAGATTAATGTTAAATTATTACCATATAATGATAAATTATTACCCTATAATTATTATTAACACTTACTTTTTAAGTCATCATCACAATATAATTATTATTTGACTAATTTTTATTATTAGTTCATTATAACTTAATAAATAAATTGTTATTATTTAATAATTACATTTTTATTATTAACTTTATTAATATTAATAATTTTAAATTTATTTTTAATAAGATAAAAAAGAAAAATAATATTGTTTTTATAATATAATAACATAAATAATATTATAAAAAATTAAATTCCAAATAAATTTTCATCAACCTAATAGCATTGATAGTATAAATAATATTATAAAAAAAATATTCCGAACAAATCTTTATCATTTTTTAAAATTTTAAATATTATATAACACAAATCTGAGACAAAAATAAATAACTTATCATTTATTATTTAATAATTTTTTATTATTAATTTTATTAATATAAATAATTTTGAAAATTATTTTTTATAAAGATAAAAAAAATTATACACAAATTGAATTAGAAAAATTTAATGTTAAAAAATATTAAACTAAAGATTACAAATTATACACATAAATTAAAGAATTTAACATCAAATAATTATACACATATAAATTAAAGATTAGAAATTATACTTCATCGGTAGAAATTTTTGAAATGTTCGTCATTTTCTCCTATAAAACTGAATTAGAAAAAAAATTATTAAAAGTTGAAACACAAAATTTAAAATAAAATAAATAAATAAAATAATTAAGGTTTGGAGTACTCAGCTGAAAAGAGAAATGATCACAATTAAATAAGCATGCGAAATATACCAACATTATTTTTAAAAATAGGCTATTATTTTGTGACAAACCATTAACATAAGATGGAGGGAGTAAAAATTTAGATCTAGAAACCAAATACATATTATTTGTCTTGTCGTTAATATCAAAATTAAAAAAGCATGTAAAATATACCAACATTATTAAATTGTGTTTTAGATGCTAAATGCACTGCTACTTTTTAACATGAAAATAAAAAGAAGGAAATTTTTGAGATAAAATAATAATAAAAAAAAGTAAAAATTTAAAACTGAAAAATAATATAAAAAAGAGCCTTGGAAACACAAAATTAATTGAAATAAAATAACCTATGAAAATATGGTCAAAATAGGCTATCATTAAAAATAAGGTCTATACGATCAACAAAAAGGATTAGACTCTGGTGTGTAGAGTAGGATGATATAGATTGGTGTGTATAAAAAATAAAAATCCCTATTTTAAAACATTAATATAAAATTAGTAGTGTTTATTATGGATAAGAAAAATATGAAGGGAAAAAACACGGGGTTTACTATATCCCAACATTGTTCCCTTGTTTATACAACAATAAACAAAAGAAGAAAAAACAAATGAAATTACAATAATTTCATTAAAAGGGATTGGGAGCAGTTTTAGGCAGCCAAGCCTTTTTATATGGCGTGTGGCACAGGCCACAAGGCAACATGAAGTGGGTCTGACTTTGATCCCAAAAGGTGCGGTAAAAAAGACTCCTAAGAAATCCAAGACCGACTACACTTTAATAGAGAATTTATAAAATTACATTTTTACCTATTATATACAATTTTAGATATTTTATACTAATTACCAAAAAAAAAATTAATGCTATTGAAAAAATTGTTGATGTTAGAATGGTTTATGCTATATTTTATTATTAAAGAAAGTTTCTTTTTAGTATTTTGGATGAATGTAAACACAATGACATAAATGATACATTTTATATTGACATTAGATGGTTTATTTTGAATTTTATGTTAATTTGCACAATATAAAGTAGGTGTAATGTTTTTAATTTTGATTCAAATTTAATGATTTTAACTTATTTAAAATGTAGTTGAGTCAAGCCAAGCTCGATAGTATCGACTATTTCATGAGCTATTCACGAGCCAAGTATGAGCTTCAAATTTAGGCTCGAGGCGAGTTCGAGCTTGAGTATTTTAGTTGAGTCGAGCTTCGAGCTTGACAGTGCTCGGCTCGATTCAATTCGTTTACACCCCTAAACAAACACGTCAATAAATGTAATCAATATATGCTACCAAGCCTGAATGTCACACATCCATTTGGTTCGGCTATCTATATATTATATGTATGATGTGTGACTAGTTAATATATCCAGAAAAAAACTTTTTTTTTCAAAACCATTAAATGACTATTAATAAAACATTTTTATCAACTACTAAGTAATGCTGGTTATGTTTGCACAAAAATTAAACTAAAAATTAACGTCAAAAATGTGATTGGGCTCTCATCAACGTACACCCTCCAAGGTTCCATGTAAGTGGTATGAAAAAAGATGGTAACGAAGATATGAGAGTTAGTTCCATGACACTTGATTTAAAGGACCAAAAGTGTGATAGTTTTAAGAATCCGAAAATATAAGTTAAGTCGTAAGTTGGAGCCTTGATATCTTTAAAAAAGGAGCTAATAAAAGAAGAGAAGTACGCGTGCACATATTCGGGATGGGCTTCGTGAGGATAGCTCAAGCTCAAGCTCAAACTCAAACTAGACCTAGGTAAGCCGGACCGAGCCAGGTCAGCAAGGGCCCAAAAAGGTCTTGGGTCGCGAAGAGCCGAAGAATAAGACTATAATGCAAGAAATAGACAGGTACTTGGTCATAAAACACGGAAAGGAGAAAATATAAGATTTGTTTTAAAAGCCATGATTTCGTCTTGGATTTATTCAAAAGTCGAAGTTGTGAAACCTCATATTAATTAATATATATATATATATATATATATATTAAAAATGTCCACCCTTACGAACAGTAAAGTTCCTAAGGGTTTGGCAAGATAGGTCCCTATAGTTTTGTATGTTTGCTAAATGTGGAATTGGTCCGATTCTTTGTTGAAATTGCAATTTGGTCCTTACCAGGTACTGTCATCGGGTTATTGTAGATTAGTGTCCCGGCACATGTATGAAAATGGGATTTTACCGACTCTATTACCCAATAAGAATTGGATTGGTGGCGATCGACTCTTAACCCGATATCCCACCGCCCATAGATGGATTTAACCCCCGATTCATGTTTTTCTTCTCCATTTGTTCCCTATTTTCTCTGATATCGGTCAAACCTCCCTTCTCGACTTTGCGTCTGGTGGTTCGATAGTACTTCGTCGCCAACATGTGCTTCCCACCGATTAAATCCGAACCTCCTTCTCAGCCGATAATCAACCTATGATTGTGGGTAATTTCTGAAAACGAAAATTAGGGGTTACCTGTATAAAAACCTTCGATAGAGAGACGAAAGAGGGCTGATGGCATCGATACTGGACAAAATTGCTTCTGGTATAGGTATTTATACTCAAATTTTAACTTTCCAGCACTAAATCAAGTATTTGTGTTATCTTCGTTATCATCTTCAGGGATCTTCCAACTTCTATAACGCTTATAATTCTCCAATATCCGTTTTTGCTGCCGCCGCCGACAACAAACGGGGCCAAAAATCGAGGCTTTCAATTGGAATCTATTGGACTGCAACGACGACTTCAACCTCTCCAGTCGTTTCCTACCGACTAGATTAGAAAGAGAGAGAAATGTGGGATCTGTATGCGTTGGATATCGATGGAGTTCTATGTGATAGCTACGGAGAGAGCTCGATTTCTGCTGTTAAGGTATCTCTTTCTAATTCACACACAGACACACACACACACACACTCTCTCTCTCTCTTCTACGGTAACTTGAGCTTTTTGTGTAAACGTATATGTAAATTTACGTATGTAAATCGGTAGAATTGAAGGATTAAATTGGTTCGACTGACTGAGATTGGTATTTTTAATTGACTGTTACCCCTAATTTCTTTTCCGGTTTTGGTTTTGGAGTTGAGTACGACATCTAAAGGCTTGAAGACAAACCGTTGTTTCCTTACGGTAATTTGGGTTATGTATATTCAACTTTGTTTCCACATCGAATCTTAATTTGTTGTTTTCGCTGTAAAAAGATGTAGCAGAGCGAAGAAAGGGAGCTGTAGAGTACCCATTTGCAGAAGAGATTGACACACATGATTTGAAAAGGAAGGTATCTGGTGTAATTTTTTTATCTTATTCCTTCTCAGACTACTGGGCAACAAAAAAGGGAGCCCAAAGAAAATCGGTTCTTTTTTTTTTTTTGTTCTTTTGCTGCTTAATTCTCAATTGGGGACCAATATTTTGTTGGTTTGGTTCTTACTTTATTAACACATAGTTTGAATCTATGGTTTTAGTGTTTTCTGTGTTCTTTACACTTACTTTTTGCCTGAAAATTTTATATTTAATTAAGTTTTGGTAAATAACATAAGGGCTTTCAACATCAATAATTTATCTGCTTAGTTTTTATTATTAAAGATATCTATTTCAGTTGTTTTTTGTGAGTTTTGACAATATAATCAACGATTTTTTACAGGTGGTTGTTGAAGGGGAGAAAGAGAAAGTATGTGATCTTTAGGACACATGTTTATGGATATCCAATATGGAAGGTAGGGAAGTTGTGACAAAGTAGATCATCTTAACAACCATGCACATGTTTCTTCTCTACAACAGGTTGCTAAATCAAACAAAAACACCTTCTAACTTATATTTTTTATATTGAAACTGTCCATATCAGATCTATAAAAAAAAATTTACCACTTTTTATAACTATAGCATCAAACTTTAATTTTATTAAGACATATTTTATAAAAAAAACATTATTTCATATATTAAACATATTCCCAAACGATCACCATTTCATGTTTACACAAGTTTAATATGTTTCTTTAAATGAAATCATGATTTCTATCACCCTCCAAATGTTTTTGTAGTTTATTCTTTACTCTGACGAGGATAATTTTGCATGAAAAGCGTTATAATCTTTTTTCCATCTCCGCTCTATAGACAATACCATTCTATGAAAAACATAATAATTTTCTATAATTAATAAATTTTAAAAGTACAATGTTTTAATATGAAATAATCCAAAAGTACAATCTATTTCTTTCCAGATTGGTACTTGTGGCGAATGCCGGAGATTTGTTCTTTCCCGCCACGGATTACCTTTTGAGATGTCAAGAGATAACCGTCCATGTTGTCATTCAGGTCAACACCAGGAAAAGTTAGTATCCAATGGCGCTGCAGTAAGTGAGGTAAGTTCCATGAACAATATTTTACTCTTTTTATAGGTTTAACCCCGAGGCGACTAAAAAAATGTTGTTTTTGTAGGAAAAACAGGTGGAGGTAAAACTTTTGACCGGAGAAACCAAAATTTGCAAGAGGACATCATATATGATTGTGGAAAGAGCTTGAACCCTGATGTGGATTTTGGGACATGTTGAAGAAGCTTTTAACGACAAATAGAAAACTTAGACTTTATCCAAAGATGCAAGTCCAACAGGTTAAATTTCATACTAAAATTTATTTATTAGTATGTTACTTTTCAGTTATAAACATTGATTTTGTAACTGAAAACATTTATTTGGATTGCTATTCCATTTATTTTAAAAAATTATCATTCCGTCCCTGCAGGAATAATGGTGAAACAAATTACATTTATACAAACACGGTAAAACAGAATAGAAACAAACACAGTATTCTTTTCACTATTATTCTAGCGAAGCACATAAATACAATTCATCGGGCTACATGCTAGAATTAGCAACGTACTTTCATTTTATTGTTTAATATAGCATCTTACTTTGATTTATATTTCTTAATTTTGTTTTTTTTTTTAAATTACTATAATGTCTAATGTAGTAACTTGCTTTCATTTAGTAATGAAAGTGCATTGCTATTAAAAATTAACATGTCATATTAAATTGTAAAATGAAAGTACATTGCTACTTCTTGCATTTAGTCATTGATTAGGATAAATGCTAGAAATGGCAATGTATTTTCATATTGCTTATTTTGTTTATTTTTTCTTATTTTATTTTTTTATCTGGATATGCAGGTGTGGTTGGGAGAGGAAAGTCATGGTTATTTTGTTGAAAAGAAAGATATGCATAAGTTGTGGCAGGAGAAGGAGTAACTATATGTGATGATATATTGTCTTCATTTTTATGGGCATTTCACCCCAACAAAAAAAAAAATTCAAAAAAATGTAACACCTCTAACCCATGCGTAGCATGGGTTCACCACCTAGTTATTATTATAATTGTTCAAGTATTTCATATTATCTAATCGAGTATATATTATGATGTGTCAGCAAGTCCACTCCATCTAAGTAAGTAGTAGTATTTTAAGCAGTTGTATGTATACCATTATGGAATGATGTTTGTATCCAATAGTAAAATTGGTTAAGATAATTTAGCATGCCCGTCATTTCAAATTGATAAGCATGTGGTCATTTACTAGGTTAATAATTGCAAAAAAAAAAAAAAAAAAAAAAAAAAAAAAAAAAAAAAAAAAAAAACTATCCATGGTTTACATTTTTTATAGTATGCAAACAATGCACATATCCATATGTTGTTTAATAATGCGCATCAACATACCTTATAATCCGGCACCTTGATATACTCTGAGCAAACCAGAAGAATGTTACTTTTGTGGTTTTCAATTAAGGTGCAGATTATGCATAACTGCAAAGAAAAGTTTGCCAAAAGAAAATTGGAAAAACGAGAAGAGTGAATGGTATATGAATAGAGAATGTAAAAATAACAAATTTTCAATCATAAAAGGTGACATGAGTATAATAAAATCAACGTCACGGACGGGACGAGCATAAAATATTAGAAAACAAAAGTACAGCAAACTCAACAGTATTTGTTTTTGCAGTATAAGCTTGGACCAAGTGTATGACATGGCGTCATTGCCATAGTTGTCGACTCCTAAGAGTCATGATATTTTAAAAAAATATAAATATATAATACAGATATAAAGACATAATATTTCTTGAATATATAATATATATATATATATATATATATATATATATATATATATATATATATATATATTGAAACAATTTGGGAATATTTGTATATCTATTTGATTATCGTAAGAAAAAGAATTCGAGATCTAAACTCGAAAAATATCTTTAAATATTGATGTTTGATCAAGTCAAGTCGGTACGTTATGATTTGGGAGAAATGGACAATTGGCCAAAAAAATACAAAAAACGAATTACAACTCTTCAAAGTGAAGAATAAAACACAAAATTTAGTTGCCTGATATTCTTGTAAGTGTTAGCTACATATTCCTTATGCAAAATCCATTTTTTTTATTTAGGTTTGAATTTCATGTTTCATACTTTCAATTTCTTTTTAAAATTTTTTCATGCATTATGCACACATGTGTCACTTTCATGCCTTACAATCTTAGAAAGAGGCTAGGTTAGACAGAGAAACACACTTACTTGTTTCCAGAGCATTCTCTTCCAAGGGTGCTCATTCAGTTCTTTTTTAAATTCTTTTCCGTTCTCTTTCCCCTCGACCGCTCCCTCCTCCTCATGATCTTTCTCTTTCCCCTCGACCGCTCCCTCCTCCTCATGATCTTGTTCCTCCGACTCTCTAACTCTTACTATTTCCATTTTGGTGTCTAAACTTATTGGGAATTTTGTCATTCTGCCTCCCAACTTTTGTTTTTTCCAGTTTTTTACCTTTTTTCTTCTGCATACTAAACTCCTACTCTTTCAATATACTTACGGTGTGTTTGGTTGTGAAAAATCTTCCAATTTTCGAGGAAAATATTCCAAGAAAAACGGAAATTTTGAAAACACGTTTAGTTCGTTCAGTTTTCAAAAGTTTTCTAAGAAAATGAAAATTTTCATTTTTCCAAATTGTATGTAAATTAGAAAAGTGATTTTTACACTTTTTCAAAGTTTTCTAAATTTCTAAGATGGAAAATGAAAACTCCACCGGTTCCAACCAAACGCGTTTTCTAAACTTTTCATTGAAAATTGAAAATAAAAATTCAACTCTATTTTCTGAAAATATTTTCTTGGACAATGAAAACAGTTTTCCACAACTAGACGCACCTTTGGTGTTTCGTCCGCACCTGAAACGACACATTTCAAGGTCTAACCCTAACCCGAAACTTGACACGAATATAAAAGGGTTGACACTACACGAAACAATAACTAAACGGGTCGGGTTAGGTCAAGATGCCTAAACCTGTTTACCGTTTCGATCATACGCAACACTTTTGCTAGGTCTATTATACTGGTTGGTTTAATGATATTGCGTTGCGGTTTTCAAGACCAGCATAGGGATGTTTACAAGAAGGGAGAAGGTAAGTGGTGCATATGTATGTAGCCTTAATTTGTTTTATGTTATCATATCAAGTTCCACTTAGAATCCGAAATCCGAAACACTCCTTGACATTGTCGGTTGTTTTTACAATACAACGTTACATGATCAAGAAAAATAAAGCAATTGATCACTTTCATGTTGGAGCAAGCCCCTTCTAGGATCACACAAGTTCACGCCCAAAACACAACATAACAGATATCGAGGAAAAGCTTTCCATTTTTCTTATTTCTGATAAAAAAAACATTAAAAGGGAAAATATTGCACCTAAACAGAAAGACTAAAAATTAGCATAATATGTGCTACTAAACAGGTGACTACTAAGGCTGGAGGGAATGGTATCACACTCCCTTATGAAACCACATTGTCACGTAGACGCCACTTCATCATTTACCACAAAAGTGTGGTTTCATACCACACTCAATGAGTAGTATAACACTCAATATATATATATATATATATATATATATATATATATATATATATATATTAAATAATTAAAAATTTTAGTTTTAATAAAAAACAAAATATAAATAAAATAAAATAAATTAAAAACCATTACATTGCATCACTTAAAAAAATAACATCACATTTATAAAAAAACCTACAAACTTAGAAAAAAAAAGGAAATAAAAATAAATAAACGAACTACATGAAATCGTCCTCTAACAACTCGTCTTTCGGGTCATCCGGGGGATCCAAATTGAGGTTAATGTGTTGAATCCCGTAAATGTGTTCCACCAAGTCCATACGAAGATTGTGAAATGTTTCATTGGAACAAACCTCTGCTCTCTTTTTAATGTACTCGTCGCCACCAATTTCTATTGCTTGTGTCTCAGGAATGGTTTCCTGCTCATCATAATCACATATCTCTCTTCCTTCATCTTCGATAATCATGTTATGCAGTATTAAACATGCATACATGACTTCATGCATTTTTTCCTCGCTGAAAAAAATTGTTGGTTTTTTCAATATGAACCAACGTTTCTTGAGAGCTCCAAAAGCCCACTCGACATCCTCCCTAGCTCTTTCTTGAGCTTTCTTGAATTTTTTCCGGTGAGTATCATGCGGACATGTAAACGATTTAAAAAAAACTGCATACTCAAGATAGATCCCATCAACTAGATAATAACCATATTTATATGGTGTTTCACGCAATTGGAAAGAAGAATCTGGTGCAAATCCGTCGTATATGTTGTTAAATATAGGTGAACGATTAAGAACGTTAATCTCGTTAAGGGAACCAAGAGAACCAAAAAAAGCATGTCAAATCCACAAATCCTGTGATGTCACCACTTCAAGTATGACTGTTGGATGCCCATGATCACCTCGGATAAATTGACCGTGGTGTGAGGTAGGGCAATTTTCCCATGCCCAATGTAGACAATCTAAACTTCCTTGTTGGAAAATATTTGTATGTGATTGTCACTTGAAATAAGTTGAGTCCTTTTATATATCTCTCTAACAAACATTATCAGAATGTTTCAGGTTGAAAAGATATTGAAGATTTAACAAGTGTTTGAAGAATCAAATGTTGGAGCACTTGAAGTTGAATATGGAGCACTTGCTGAAAGCTAGTTGGATCATCATGATCTCAGATGGAACATCTAGATCATATGTGGAGCATCAAGACATTGATGGATCATCTAGAATATTGATGGCTCATCAGAAACATTGTTGGCTCATCCACAACTCTATGGCTCAACAAGAGTTGATGATTCAACAGGAATACTTGGTGGCTCAACTCAAGTCAATGGATCAACATGATCACATTGATGACTCAACAAGACTGCACATTGCTCATCATGTACAATGAAGGCACGTCCAAATGCTCAAAGGAACATGAATTTCGTCCATGGTCCATCATGAACATGTGGTGGTACATCCTCAAGTTCAAGACACAGTCCAACGTTCAAGAAACTACTCAACATGATCAACAACACTTCTTGAAGTTGATGACATCTAAAAAGACAATTGAGCAACTTGATGCTCATGTTGCTCATCACTTTTTCAATGTTGATCAAGAAGGTTCAAGAATTATGAAGACTCATAACTTGGATGGAACCCTAACGGAATACTAACGGAATTGGAATATTCCATCCATTCTCCGTTAAGTAGGGCAAGGGTGTCAATTGATGACTAAGTCTTGATGACGTGTCAGCACCTGATTGGTCAAGCCATGTCATGGGCTTTTCCAAAGCCTATAAATAGGCCCCTTGGGATCCATTATAAAGTTGCTCTTTTCTGACCATTCCTGCTCATTCTGCACAATTGTTGCTTAGATTAGTTTTCAGAGAGCCATTTGAGTGTTTTAGCTTGTCTATCATTCAAACACTTGTAACTAATTCTTGATGAATATGAGACACTTTTGAATCATTGATATTGAACATATAAAAACGTTTTTGTATTAACTTGGTGATTCACAACACTTTATTTTCCGCATTACTTGCCACTTGACGATTCTGAAACTCTGTTTCAGTATTTTCAACACTTGGACTATTCTAGTCTAGGTTTACTGAATTTTCTCAATTTCTTCAGTTGGTATCAGAGCTTGATCTTGAAGAATCATCTGTTCTTTCAAGTTTTAAAGATCAGAGGTGACATATTTTTGTACTTGAATCTCTCTCACGAATCTGGTGTAAGTTCTTCTGTTATCCATTGATTTGCACTCGAAAATTGTTATATCTATATCAGAACTGAAAGATGTGTGAAGAAATATCCTAGATCTGAAGGGTTTTTGAAGATTTGTTGAATACGTTTTTCCAGATCTGTATTTCTCACATCAGATCTACACTCATTCTCTTTGGAATCCGTTTTTACTTAAGATTCTTGTTCAGATCTGAGTTTTATCATGATTTCAATATGTGGCTATCCACATTTTTATCAGGAGAGTCTCCTTTTTTCGTTTTAATTTTCGTTTTTTTCATTGACAGAGAAAGTGAGAGTTCATCTTTTTCATGTGAGGTTTCTCCATTGTAATCAGATCTGATGATCATATGAATCCAGAAAT